TGGGCTGCAGGGGCACAGCCTGCCCCACCGTGGTCTTCATCACGGGCTGCAGGGGAATCTCCGCTCCGGCACCTGGAGCTCTTCCTCTTCCTCCCTGCCCTTGGGGTCTGCAGGGCTGCTCCTCTCCCATCCTCTCCCTTCTCTTCTCTCTCCGGCTACTGAGCCACAGCCGGTTTTGTCCCTCCTTAAATACGTTATCCCAGAGGCGCTTCCGCTGTTACCGATGGCCTTGGCCTTGGCCCACCGGTGGGACGGGGAAAACTTCTCCCAGAAGCCACCCCCGTAGCCCCCTGGCTACCAAACCCTCGCCACACAAACCCAATACAAATTAACCCACCAAAAAGCAGGGACCTGTTTCTGAGAGCCCTCTGAACAACCCCACACGTCCATTAAAGATGGAGGTGACCACCTGGAGAAGGTGACCTGCCTCTAGAGCTCCAATGCCCTTGAGGATCCCTGTGGGGGCCGTACCTACTGGGTGCCTTTTATCAACACGATCGCATCTGCCGAGGGTTCTTACGGACGGGGCTGTGGGCAATCTGATCCGGTTAACGGTGTCCCTGCTTCTTGCAGGGGGTTTGAAACCAAAGCAGGGTGGGTTTTGACTGGATCGAAGGCAGAAATTCCTGACCATGAGGGTGGGAAGGAGCAGGAGGGGTTGCCCAAGGCGGTGGTGAAGGCCCCATCCCTGGGAACATCCAAGACCAGGTTGGCTGGGGCTGTGGGCAACCTGCTCTGGTTCAAGGTGTCCCTGCTGCTGCACCCCCTCCTGGGTGACCTCTTGGGGTCCCTTCCAACCCAAACCCTTCGATGAGTCTATGATTTCCCAGCTCTTTGGCAAAAGCAAAACGAGCGGTTTGAATGATTTCCTCCAGTTTTATTTTTCAGCCAGCAAGCGCCCCGGGTGCAGCCTTCTCTTGCGACCTGGGAGGTCCTTTTCCCGCTTTCCAGCACCGCAGGCATCCACCGCGCTTCGCCGCCAGGCGAAATCCTTGGCGCCGTCGCCAACCTTCGCTTATTCGTGATGCTGAAAGGAAGACGCGGCCTGAAGTTTGACACGGTTGCGCTTTCCTTGCTTGAAAAGCGAGGCTGATGAAGGGCTGGCACCCATCGGGGGGCTCCCACCTGCCCAGACGGGCTTGGTTTATCGATATTTT